CCGGCTGTGAAGCCGCAAGCTGTCACATCCGGGTGCCCACACTGAAGATGCCGGCCTCCTGGAATACAGGACAGCCGGTGAAACGGGGACACACCACGGGACCGAGGGACAGGTAAGTGGCTGTTTTTTTAAAAGTCAGCAGCTACAATTTTTGTAGCTGCTGACGTTTACTTTTTGACAATGTAAGTGGAACTCCGCTTTAACCACCAAGCTTATCTCAATATATCTTCCAAGACCTCCTGATCTTGATCTCCCTTTTCTCCTCCTATGCTCCTTTCCAGGATTTCCCCAGAGCCTCTCCCATCCTCTGGAACTCTCTACCGCAATCTCTCCAGCTATTTCCTCCTCCGTTTGCTTTTAGGCAATCCCTGAAAACTCCTCTCCAGGGAAGCCTATCCTGCCTCCACCTAACAACTGAATCATTTGGTTCCTGTTGACCCTCCCTTAGATTGTAAGCTCCCAGGAGTAAGGCCCTCCTAACCCTCTTGTATTGAATTATATTGTTGCTGTACTGTCGGCCCTCATGTTGTAAAGCACTGCACAAACTGTTGGCGACATAGAAATCCTGTATAATAATAATTGTCTGTATACATCATAGTGAAGTAATAAAGATCATACAAAAAAAATGCAATTCAGGGTGGAACACCCATTAAACCACAGGTCATGAGGGGTATATCAGTACACCGTTATGGCTCATGCAGAAGAGCGCACAAGTTGCTGTGTACAGATTGGTAATTTATATGGATCTGAATGCAGCAGCATTGGATTCTATGGGTTCATGCACACGGCTTCATTTTGGTCCATAGCATTAAGCTGCGTCAAGCAAATCCAGCATTCATGGCCCTGCTTATAGAGTATATTTTACACCGTACGCATTGGTACTAATATTTGCACGCCTCAAGCATACATGGACTCTTAAAGCGGAGTTCCACTCACACTGTAAAAAAAATAGGTCAGCAACTACAAAGACTGTAGCTGCTGACTATTAAAAAAAACAGCCACTTACCTGTCCCTCGATCCAGCGGTGTCCTCACCACAGCCCGTTTCACCAGCCGTCTGGTGTTCCAGGCACCGGCATCTTCAGTGTGAGCACCCGGCGGTGACAGCTTGCGGCTTCACAGCCGGGTGCCCATTGCGTATGTGCGAGTAGCGCTGCGCTTCCTGAATGGCCCCGTAGTCTTCTCTGATCTATCACATGTCCCAAAAACTACAGGGAGGGAGAGTAGGAGGACATCTTCCGCTTCTGATCGCCTAGGCGACCGCAGCAGAAGTCGGAGCAGGTATCCGCTCCCCAAAGGTGCTAATCCTTAATGGGGAGCAGGGGGACCTGTCTTTAAAGTGGAATTTCCCCTTTTGGGTGGAGCTCTGCTTTAAGCTGGGCATAGATATGTCAAATCTCAGCCTGTTCCGCAGGGACCAGCCGAGATTTGATCCATGTATGGGCAAGCTGACTGTACCCAAGTTGAACCAGAAACAAACTCTCCTGCGCTCTGAGACCCAGATAAGGGGTGGATGGATGGAACCAGAACTTGAAACATTCGACCACCAATGCATATAGGGTTGTGCAGCTCCAAACAAGGCTGGGGAAGCCTGACCAGTACTGCAAAGTGAAACAAAACAGCGCACCAACCTTGCGCATTACCTCAGTAAACCAAAATGTTATTGAATACAGAATGATCCATCAGTTGACTTGGGTACAACCAACCTGTTGGATTTTTATCTTTCGATTACTGACCGCGGCTATAGCCAGTAGCAGTAATCATTGTATTCACATGCGCACGTAGTGCTGCGCTCCCTGAATGGCCCCGTAGTCTCCTGGGACCTGTCACGTGTCCCAGAAGACTGCGCGGGGGTGGGGGAGGACAACTTCCGCTTCCTGGGAAAGCTGGCCACAGAGATTAAACAAAATCCTCCTTCATAAGTTGTACTTGTTTATTTGCAGTCTTCTCTACATCTGTTCAAAGTCCAGAATTTATAAAGTTTGTCTGAGATTTCATAAAGTCCGGGGCAGGGAGCTTTTACTGCAGAGCTCAGTAAGAGCTGATTGGAGGGAAGGGACACACCCACCTTCACACAAGAACAGAACTGAGGTTGTCAATCACAGGCTGTGTGCTGGAGACCCCTCCCCTAACCACCGTTGTTCGCTTGGTGTCAGCAAAACATACCAGAAGTGACTCATGCTGATAATGGAGGAGCAAGGCAGCAGACAGAAATGGCACTTAGTGCTCTGTATTAAGACAAGCACACAATACAAAGAGGTATGCTTTGTCCATAGTTCATGTCTGATTACAACTACTTTAAGTCTTGTATTTAGTTTGTGTTCAGTTAATATCTTTAATTTATAAAGAAACTTTTTTTCTTTTTCTTTTTTTTGTGTGTGATTGGTTAGACTTCATCTTGTTGCGAGGTGAATCGATGGTCGTTGATGAGGAGAGCTCTTCCCTTGTCCTACTGACCCATCTTTTCCTCACTAGCGGTCAGGCCACCTTTAGCTCATGGCTGCTTTGTGTTTTGTTCCATGGCTGATGTGACTATAGACCAAAGGAAGCCTTGTAAGCCATGTTCCTGTATGGAGGAAATGCTGAAAGCAGACTTGTCAGTAGCATTGCCTGGGCTCTGTTCAGCCTTCAAGTCATGACCCCATTGCCTGTATTGCAGATCAATCCTAAACAGCATCCCAAAAATATCCATTGTTCTTCCTAAAGTGTATATAAAACCAATTTTTTTGTTTTTTGTATACAGAGTGGAAGCATTAGAACCCTGACAATTCTTTATTGCTCTCTGTGTATTTATTGGGGAAATTCACCCCATTAGTCCTGGCCACCATTGTGTCCAGTGCAGAAAGTATTGGGACATCCAAAATATTATAGTTTTCACTGGAAGAGGAGGTGATGGGAAGTCTACTATGGAAACAAGTATTCCGGGGAAAAGAGGAAATTACATTTTGGATAGATTTCCACTTCTTCCTTTGTCTCGGGACCAGAAATAAGAAAGGAAGTTCAAAGGGAGCATAACCATAGCCTACTCCTATTAAAAAAATAATTAATGCATTTTTAAAAATTCCTATCTTTTATTTTTTTTTTTTTCTTTAATAGTCAAATAGTGGTTGAAATTTAAAAAAATAGAAAACCTCTCAATACTTACCTCCTCTGCAGCGATGCCTCCACAGTAATGCTTTTCTGCCATTACATGTTGTCCATCGTCTACAGTAAGTGTTGCCTGTATTGTATCGTGAATCCAGGGCATCATGGTCCTGCCATTCTCAGCATCTTCAAGGACCACTCACTGGTGGTAGAAGATCTGAAGAGGACCATGCACATCATGCGAATGGCCTGATTTTATAATTTGAAAAAAGGGGAAGTATAAGAAAAAAAAAAAAAAGCAACTGTATAGTACAATGATTGCTAGATGCAGCCTGGCTTGTGCATACAGCACTACACTGCTTCTAGGCAAAGGACCCGAAGTGATTCCCCCTCTTTTTTCTTTGGTAAATCCCTTTTTGGATGTGTTTGGAGCTAAGTTATTTGTCATCTTTTCATTTTTTTTTTCACATGGCACCGTCCCGTTTGCATTCGTGTGCAAACTGCTGCGGGTTCACCATTGGTGTGTTCGGGCGGGACCTCTCCAGGAGACGCTTTGGACAGCTTCTCTTTTTATCTCTTTATCTCTTTTTCCCTCACACTGTATTACCATCTATGCCAGCCTTTCTCAACCAAGGTGCCTTGAGGTTTCTTCAGGGGTGCCTTGGCAAAATGTCTAAAAATTGCCCAAAACTTGTATACAAGCCAGTGATGGAACAATCCTGCCTTTCAGTTACACAAAGCCACAGGTTTTCATTGTGCAGCATTACGACTTTCTAGCCACCAGTGTCCTGACAACCAATGACATCATCAGTTGATAAGGAGGATGTCAGTTGCTTGCACAGAATCCTAGTTTGACCCTCATCCACCCCTCTCCAGTGCTGGGGTCACATTAGTTCAGTGATGGAGAAAAACTGAGGGAGGAGAGAAACATTGGAATACTAGTCAGTACCAGTGTGCAAAAGTGTATTTGCTTTGGAAGAATAAGTCACCTCTAATGTTGGGTGTCCTACGTGTGTGGATGTTGCTGCGTTATATAAAACTAGTAGAATAGTTTTTCACATTTTAGAATGGGGTGCCTCGGAACTGTCCATAATTTTAAAGGGTGGCTTGACTGAAAAAGGTTGAGAAACACTGGTCTATGCTGTGAGGGGCCTGTGAATACTCTCTACTGCATCATGAGAAATTACACTTTTTAGCATTTTGGTGGTCTTGTGTACGGTTTGCCCCTATATGGGGCCATATGTCATGCCTCTTTGAGCAACTCTGAGGAAGAGATGACGCTTATGCAGGCCATAGACGGGTCGTTTATCGGCCAAATTTTCGTCCGCACGAAAAATCTGCCGATATTCACGCCGTTAGTGAGGCAATATCGTCGGCCGTTTTTCGTGGATCTTCTCGTTTACTTTTATTGGTCATACTGGAAAATCCACGAAAAACGTCCATTTTTCATGGACATTGGTGCCAGCAACGACCGATTTATTTTTCTTTATCGGCCGACCTGTCTATGGCCTGCATAATTCTGGAAAATAAAATGAAATTGAGCGTCATGTTTTAACTGCTGATTTAGTAGTCTATTTACACATCCGTGCCTTCAAAGTCCCACCCATTAGAGGACCTTTCAACCTTCGTTTGGCTAGACACAACTCAACATCCATCCCTGGTCTAAGCCACTGAGGTTTCTTGGCTGATGGGGTACATTTTCGTCTTGGGGCGTACAGCAGTGAGTTGAGGGGACAGTCTTCTGCTTGGGGCAAAGATCTGCCTTGCTTTGTTTGCATACATCTCAGATGTCCCGGTGAAATTCCCCACTGGTGCAGTTATTGAAGGTGCTGCCTCCAGAGCAATGAGGTCTATGGATACTAGCTGTTAAGTGGTAAAATATCCTGTGGAGGGAAAAACTAAGCAGGCCCTTTGTGTCATCTAGAACAGGGCTTGAAATTTCCACTCGCCTGCTCGCCAGTGGTGAGTGGAAACTATGGTGGGGACGAGTGTGTCCCCCAGGGACGTCTTGCTGAGCAGGCTCGGAGCTCAGGCCGGATTTGTCTTTGGCACTGGGAGCTGTTAGACTGCTCAATAGCTGAGCGCAGTGAAAGCAAAGGAAGGAGTGTGTGCTGTGCTCTCTGCCTCCCCCTAGAGTGCAGTACCTGGCTCTGTGCGTGAACAACGAAGTACTGCAACTTTTTATGGGGGTGTGTGTTTGTGTGTATTTGTGTGTGTATGTGTGTGTGTGTGTGTGTGTGTGTGTGTGTGTGTGTGTGTGTGTGTGTGTGTGTACGTCTGTGTTTGTGTGTATGTACATGTGTCTGTGTGTTCGTGTGTATGTATGTCTGTACGTGCCTGTGTTTGTATACATGTGTGTGTGTGTGTACATGTGTCTGTGCATGTGTGTACATGTTTCTGTGTGTATGTACATGTCTGTGTGTGTGTACAGGTATCTCTGTGTGTTTGTTGGTGGCGAGTAACTCTTAAGGCCTGACTAGTAGCTCAGGACTTGAAATTTGAAGCCCTGATCTAGGATCTGTACAGTTCTGCAGTCCGCTCTTGGCTTGCATTCACAATTGTTTAGTGTAGGAATGTGTGCAAAATTGTGCAATAAAAACGTGTCACTTTGCTGTGCTATTCATTGCATTAATGACACCCCAAATGCGGCAAGCAAAATGTGCTATTTTTGCACGTGAATAACACACCACTAAAAAAAAAAAAAAAATGTGCAAAGCCCAAAGAAGATACTTGACCTGATTTACCTCATTTGTCACATATAGCGTGTAGGCTTCCCTGTGTGCTAAACACAACAATATGTGAAACACATGTGAAAGCACACTTGTGTGTGATGTGCCACAGTGGTGTCAAGGGGGCTGAAAAGGATCGCCTACACAATTCGCAAAAACAGATCTGCTGTATTATTTCTGCTGCTAATTCTACCGTCTAGATTAGTCGGTATGTACCTGCTGATCGCAGTCATGTGTTGGTTGGATCATGAACCCCGTCGTGCCAGCTGCCAACTCTGGACCCCACCTGCCGCCTCTCGTGAGAGCAGCAGTAGGCATTGCAGAGCCGGGGCTTCTCCGCTCTGATGTGTTTTACCGCACAGCCGAGACCTGGGAGGGCTTTGTTGCTCTGCTGGGTGCTGCTGCGTCTGAGGTCCGATGAGTGAATTTTATGGAAGAAAGGGGGATTTTGTGTTGTGAGCGAGGGGGTTGAGGTTAGTATTTGAAAGGAATTATTTCTGCTTGTTGAGACGGGGATAGTGGGCAAGGAGGCATAGATGTGTGTTATGTATCTCTGACCTCTTTACTGTGAGTTGCATGCTCCTGACCCCTGCACTCTGACCTACATACAGCTGACCCCTGCATTCTGTATTACTACTGACCCCCTGCGCTCTGTCCAACATGCTCCTGACCCCTGCGCTCTGACCTACATATTACTGAGCCCTGCATTCTGTATTACTCTTGACCCCTGCGCGCTCTGTCTTGCCTACTCTTGACCCCTGCGCGCTCTGTCTTGCATACTCTTGACCCCTGCGCGCCCCCCTGTCTTGCATACTCTTGACCCCTGCGCGCCCTGTCTTGCAAACTCTTGACCCCTGCACTATTTAAGCTATCCTTAATTTTAAGGCCTAGCTAGGTTCGCTGCACCCTAGTGATTTGTGATCACCTCCATGTTGTTCAGGTGGATCTCCAATTCTCCAGATTTGTTTGCTCTGGGCTGCAATCTTCTTGCATATGAGCCAGATCCGTTCCTTTTCCCCATTCCTCGGCTTTGCACCATCTATACACATTCAGTATTCATGCTGTTTTAACCAGCTTTAGATCACAAAAATGTCTGAATGGATCAAGAGAAGCCACCTCCAGTGTTTTTTGGTTTCATGATTTTGATCAGTCAGTTGCATTGATCTGTTTGGTTGTTCTTGCAGTCCACAGCTGGTTGAAATCCGTTTATATTGTCTGAAAATGACTGTATATAGCCGGCATTGGCGCTTGTGCACATGGACTCAGTGTACCTGTGATTGGTGTGCATGTGAGACCTATGTTGAATGAAGGTGAACAATCCCCATTCACCTCACTGGTACAGTGTAGATCACGGTTATTGGGCTGCATTTGACCTGCTTTGCTCTGAATGCATCTTCTCCCCTTTGATGTGTTTCTGCGGCAGGCCGGGGAGGTGAAATGCGGCCTTTTGTGGTTTAATGCATGACTGAGAATCGCTGCATTTCACTGCAATGCCTTGAGACTGTTGAAGCGCGCAATTGTTAATCGTATGTCTCTACAGTGGCCCTCCTATGTCTCCCTTATGGACATTACTATAGGTCCCTACTGACCAATCAATTCTGTATCTGAATGCCCTTACACCCTTGACAAGTATTTGGGCAACAAAGTGGCTAAATGGTTAGCACTTCCACCTGGCACTACTAGGGTCAGCGGTTCGAATCCCAACCACGGCACCAAATGCCTGGAGTTTGCATGTTCTCCCTGCGTGGGTTTCCTCCAGGTACTCAGGTGTCCTCTCACACTCCAAAGACATGCTGGTAGGATAATTGGCTCCTGTGTAAATTGTCCCTAGTATGTGTATGTATGAATGTGAGTTAGGGACCTTAGATTGTACGCCCCTTGAGGGTTAGGGACTGATGTGAATGTACAATATATATGTAAAGTGCTGTGTACATTGATGGCGCTATATAAGTACCTGAAATAAACAGAAAAACATAAATCCAAAGTCCTGCGTATGGACCATATTTAACCCATTTATGACCACCCAACACATGTGCGACAGCACAAGGGTGGGCTTTAACGCCCACACATTACACATGTGCACCACTGGGTGGGCAATGTTGTATGTGCTGAGAGGGCGTTTCCAGCACAAAGCCCACTCTTGCTCCAAGTTAAAGATTAATAGCTTGCGGGACTGACAGTGGTCATGTGATCGCTGATCCTCCCCGCTCCCTGGGTGTTCAGAACTATTTACAGGGACCTGGGGCAGACAGGAAGGGGTTAGTGCTGTTTGTATGTAAACATTATGCTCATGCTTCCAGCACAGCGGCTAAGTGGTTAGCACTTCCCCCTGGTAGTACTCGGGTTGTTGGTTCGAATCCCAACCACGGCACCACCTTCCTGGAGTTTGCATGTTCTCCCTGTGCCTGCGTGAGTTTCCTTCGGGTACTCCGGTTTCCTCCCACACTCCAGACATGCTGGTAGGTTAATTGGCTCCGGTCTAAATTTGGCCCTAGTATGTGTATGTATGAATGTAAGTTAGGGACCTTAGATTGTACACCCCTTGAGGGTTAGGGACTGATGTGAATGTACAATATATATGTAAAGTGCTGTGTACATTGACGGTGCTATATACAGTGGGGATCGAAAGTTTGGGCACCCCAGCTAAAAATTTGTATTAATGTGCATAAAGAAGCCAAGGAAAGATGGAAAAATCTCCAAAAGGCATCAAATTACAGATTAGACATTCTTATAATATGTCAACAAAAGTTAGTTTTTATTTCCATCATTTACACTTTCAAAATAACAGAAAACAAAAAAATGGCGTCTGCAAAAGTTTGGGCACCCTGCAGAGTTAATATCTTGTACTGCCCCCTTTGGCAAGTATCACAGCTTGTAAACGCTTTTTGTAGCCAGCCAAGAGTCTTTCAATTCTTGTTTGAGGTATCTTTGCCCATTCTTCCTTACAAAAGTCTTCCAGTTCTTTGAGATTTCTGGGCTGTCTGTCACGCACTGCTCTTTTAAGGTCTATCCATAGATTTTCAATTATGTTGAGGTCAGGAGATTGTGAAGGCCATGGCAAAACCTTCAGTTTACGCCTCTTGATGTAATCCCCCGTGGTGTGTTTAGGATCATTATCCATTTGTAGAAGCCATCCTCTCTTTAACTTCAGCTTTTTCACAGATGGCATCAAGTTACCATCCAAAATTTGCTGAAATTTTATTGAATCCATTTTTCCTTCTACTCGTGAGATGTTCCCTGTGCCACTGGCTGCAACACAACCCCAAAGCATGATTGATCCAACCCCATGCTTAACAGTTGGACAGAGGTTCTTTTCATTAAATTCTGTGCCTTTTCTTCTCCAAACGTACCTTTGCTCATTCCGGCCAAAAAGTTCAATTTTAACCTCATCGGTCCACAGAACTTGTTTCCAAAATGCATCAGGCTTGTCTATATGTTCATTTGCAAAGTTCAAACGATGATTTTTGTGGTGAGGATGTAGAAGAGGTTTTCTTCTGATGACTCTTCCATGAAGACCATATTTGTACAAGTATCTCTTTATAGTGGAATAGTGTACCACAACTCCAGTGTCTGCCAGATCTTTCTGGAGGGATCGTGCAGTCAAACGTGGGTTTTGAATTGTTTTTCTCACAATCCTGCGAGCTGTTCTGTCTGATATTTTTCTTGGTCTTCCAGATGTTGCTTTAACTTCCACTGTTCCTGATGACTGCCATTTCTTAATTACATTCTGAACAGAGGATATTGACATCTGAAAACGCTTTGCTATCTTCTTATAGCCTTCTCCAGCTTTGTGATCGTCAACTATTTTCAGTTTCAGTTTTCTAGACAACTGCTTAGAAGAACCCATGGTGCTGATTGTTGGGGCAAGGTCAGATGAGTCTGGGCATTTAAAACCTTTGAGATTGACATCACCTGGTCTTCCCAGACGATGATTGAGAACAATCCATGACACTGGCAGGTCTCAGCTTTGCAAAGGGGGCAGTGCATGCTATAAATTCTGCAGGGTGCCCAAACTTTTGCAGACGCCATTTTTTTTGTTTTCTGTTATTTTGAAAGTGTAAATGATGGAAATAAAATCTAACTTTTGTTGACATATTATAAGAATGTCTAATCTGTAATTTGATGCCTTTTGGAGATTTTTCCATCTTTCCTTGGCTTCTTTATGCACATTAATACAAATGTTTAGCTGGGGTGCCCAAACTTTCGATCCCCACTGTAAGTACCTGAAATAAATAAATGCACCCAATAGTCCACATTTTCAGCAGCTGCTCGGGGCTGACATGTACATATTAAAGTGTATCCAGTGGCTACTATTCATGTTTATACGTCGACCCCAAATGTATGGTTCACGAGGCGGCGGTGCATGTGTAGAATGAGTGAATGCGTAATGTGAAATCTGCACCCGCTGATAACACACCATTGTTTATGCTGGCAGGAATGACGCATCTGAAAGCATACTGATATACGGGATGTATGTGTGCATGCGTTTCTGCAGTGCCGTCACTGTTTATGTAGGATTTTGCTGCCAGCAAGTACATAAAAACCTGAACCTGTGTGCATGAGCCTGGCATGTGGGAAGTGGTAGAATCAGTACTTTTATCATTTGTAAACATTTCATGGAGTTCCCCTGTAGGCCGGGTTCACACTTGTGTGGTGTGGGCAGATCGCATGTGATTCACACAGGAAATGCACCGCGTTCCTGTGCAAATCACATGCGATTTCTGTGCGTTGCGATTTGAACCGTATATTATGTATGGCTCAAATCACACCACATTCGCATCAAAATAGTGCAGGACCCTTTTTTTTTTTGTCTGCACCAGAATCGGATTGCATGGGTATGAATACCCATGCGTTCTGATTCTGCACATTGCACCAAGCTTTGTGAACTGATTTTG